TGAACAACTACTGGGTCAAAAAGGAAATCAAAAGAGAAATTAGAAAGTATATGGAGACAACTGAAAACAAAAAGTAACCAACCAAAAGTTATGAGATGCAGCAAAAATTTGGTTACTTGAGATACTCAAGTAACCAAGTATGAGATTACTTGAACTTCCAAGAGGAAATTTCAGGTAATAAATGCCTACATTAAAAAATAAGACAGGTCTTAAAAAAAAAAAAAAAAAAAGAACAAAACTAAGGTCAAAGTTAGCAGAAAGAAATAAAATAATAAAGATCAGAGCAAAATAAATAAAAAAGAAGAATAGAAAAATCCTGAAAGTTGATTCTTTGAAATGATAAACAAAATCAACAAACCCCTAGCAAGATTCAACACCCTTTTATGATAAAACAACTAGAGGGAATGTATTTTAACACAATAAAATCCATATACCACAAACCCACAGCTAACATCATATTCAATGATAAAAAATGAAAAGGTTTTACTCTACTATCTGGAACAAGGCAAGGATGCCCACTCTTGCAACTTCTATTTAACATAATGCTAGAAATCCTAGCAAGAGAAACCAGACAAAAAATAAATAAAATCCATACATATCAGAAAAGAGGTAAAATTATCACTGCAGATGGCATAATCTGTTGTTGTTATTATTATTATTATTATTTGAGATGGAGTCTCACTCTGTTGACCAGGCTGGAGTGTAGTAACGTTATCTTGGCTCACTGCAACTTCCACCTCCCAGTTTCGAGCAATTCTCCTGCCTCAGCCTTCTAAGTAGCTGGGATTACAGGCACCTACCGCCATGCCCAGCTAATTTTCATATTTTTAGTAGAGGCAGGGTTTCACCATGTTGGCCAGGCTGGTCTTAAACTCCTGACCTCAGGTGATCCGCCCACCTCAGCATCCCAAAATGCTGGGATTACAAGTGTGAGTCACTGCGCCTGGCCCATAATTTTATATATAGAAAATCATAAATATTCTACAAAAAACCTGTTAGAACTCAGTGAAGTCACAGAATACAACATCCATATACAAAAATCAGATGTGTTACTATTCATTAACAACAAACTAGTATCTAAAGGGAAATTAAGAAAACAATCCTAATTACATCAGCATCAGAATGAAGGAAATATTTAGGAATAAACTTAACCAAGGAGGTGAAATACTTGTACACTGAAAATTATAAAACACTAATGAAAGAAATATTAAAAGATACAAATAAATGGAAGACATCTGTGTTCATGAATTAGAAGAATTAATGTTCTAAAATGTCCATACTACTGAAAGCAAACTGCAGATTCAATGTACTATCAAAATCCAAATGGCTCTTGTTTTTTACAGAAGTAGAAAAAAATAGTTCTAAAAATCAGATAGAACCATAAATGATTCTGAGTAAAGCAATTTTGAACAAGAAGAACAAAGCTGGAGAAACCACACTTTCTGATTTTATATATATATTACAAAGCTACAATAGTCAAAACATTATGATACTGGTATAAAAACAGACACATGGGACAATGGAACAGAATACAGAGCCCAGAAATAAAACCACCCATTTGTGGTCAACTGATCTTTCACAAAGTTGCCAAGAGTACACAATGGGAAAACAATGGTCTCTACAATAATTTGTGTTGGTAAAACTGTATATCTATATTCAAAATAATGAAATTGAAGCCCTTGTTTTATGCCATAAACAAAAATCAGCTCAAAATGGATTAAAGACTTAACTATAACACTTGTAATTGTAAAACTTCTAGAAGAAAACACAGGAAAAACCTATTGGTCTTGACAATAATTTCTTTGATATGACACTAAAAGCAGGCAACAGAAGCAAAAATAAACAAGTGAGATTACTTCAAACTAAAGCTTCTGCACAGCAGAGGAAACAATGAACAAAATGAAAAGGCAGTCTATGAAATGGGAGAAAATATTTGCAAACCATTTATCTGATAAAGGGCTAATATCCAAAATTTATAGGGAACTCCTGCAACTCAGAAGCAAAAAACAAATAATCTGGTTAAAAAATGGGCCAAAGAATTAAGTATACATTTTTCTAAAGAAGATGTGCAAATGGCCAATAGGTATATGAAAAATCAGTAAAGCATCAGGGAAATGCAAATCAAACCACAATGAGCTATTATTTCACACCTGCTAAAATGACTATTACAAAAAGAAAAAAGAAAACAAGTGTTGGTGAGGAAGTGGAGAAAAGGGAACCCTAGTATGCTGTTGGTGGGAATGTAAGTTAGTATAGTCACTATGGAAAACAGTATACAGATCCTAAAAAAATTAAAACATGGAATTACTATATGATCTAGCAATCTCACTTCTGGGGTAGTATGAACCTAAAGGAATTGAAATCAGGATCTTGAAGTGATATGGGCACTCCAGTGTTCACTGCAGTGTATTAACAATAGCCAAAACACTGATGCAACTTCAATGTCTTATCAATCAACAGATAAACTGATAGAAAATGTGATATATAAATATAATGGAATATTATTCAGCCATAGAAAAGGAGATCCTGCCATTTGGAACAACATGAATGAACCTCGAGGACATTATGCTAAATGAGATAAGCAAAACACATAAGAACAAATGCTGCATAATACTATGTATATAAGGATAAGGTAGACTCATAGAAACAGAAAGTACAGGCCAGGCTTAGTGGCTCATGCCTGTAATCCTAGCACATTGGGAGGCCAAGGCAGGAGGATCACTTGAGACAAGCCCGGGCAACATAGTGAGACCTCATCCCTACAAAAAAAAAAAAAAAGAAAAAAGAAAATAAAAATTAAAAGAAAATTAAGAAACAGAGAGTTCAGTGGTGGTTGCCAAAGACTGGGTGTGTGAGGGAGGGTGGGGGAAAACAGAGAGGTGAAAGGGTACAAAGTTTCAGTTATACAAGATGAATAAGTCCTGGAGATCCACTGTATAGCACATGCCTACAGTAAATAACACTGAACTATATGCTTAAACATTTGCTATGAGGATAGCTTTTATGAAAGTGTTTATATTATAGAAAGAAAATAAAGAGGGTGAGAGGAAACTTTTGGAAGAATGGATATGTTGTGGCTTAGATTGTGGTCTTAGTTTCATAAGTCTATTCTTATCTCCAAATTTATAAAGTTGTATATCTTAAATATGTACAGCTTTATGTACATCAATTATACCCCAGTAGTTTTTTTTTAAAAAAAGAAAATGAAGTTACCTGCTTAGTTGGGTCAAGAAATATGTATCTCCATTTGGTAGCCATTACTAATGTGAACTGTCCCAAAGAAAGATACAGTCCAGCAAGATTATTTTTTTCCCCTGTTTTCATATGAAAAAAGTGGTGATGTGGTTAATGCAAGCACACATCTACTAGCCTCTTAACAAAGAGCGTGGTGGTACTCTGTAAATATCGTCAGATGGGCTTTTTGGTGACTCATGCTATGTTAAAACATCTTTTCATTCCCTGCACTTCTTGAAACTGACTCTTGAAACTTTCCATTCTGATTCCACTGCCCTATTTTGAGTTCTCATCATCTGTCACATAGATTAATACAACAGCTCTCTCTCTCTGTTTTCTCTCTACATTTGAGTGCTATCTGAGTGATGGGTCTCTGGTGCATACTGATCTATGTCATGCCCTTGCATGACATCGTTCTCCAGCAATTCCCAGCAAAGTCCTCCAGCAACTCCCCATCAGCCTTAGAGTGAAGTCTGTGCTCCTTAATAAGGCCAGAAAGGCCTGCAAGGGCTGGCTCTGCCCTCTTTCCAGCCTCATCTCCTCCTGCAGCCCTCCTTATGCTGTCTTCCTTGGCTTCATCATGTTTCCTGCAGCTCTCCACATTCACCGACCATGTTGGTGTTTGCTCTGTGATTTGCTCTGTTGACTGTTTTGCCTGAATGTCCCTCCAGGTCCCCTGCTAGCTCTTTTTTTCACCCTGACTTACTCATCACAATATTTCCAACTCAGCTCAGGCTTGAGCTCCTCCAGGAGTCCAAGCTGGGTCTGGCACCTTACCTCTAAAGTCCCTGAGCACCCTGTCTCGTAGCACTTGCCACTTTAAAAATGATCTCTTCAGGTCTGTTTCCTCCACCTCTCTGCTGTGAGTGTTTTACATTTTAAAAAATATCCCCATGCACTAACGTGTGGAGCAGCAGTGTAGTAAAAAAAAAAAAAAAAAAAATGGTGAGAGCACCAATCTAGGGGTCAGAAGTGTGGAGTCTTAATCCTGAGTACCAGTTATATGTCTTTTGGCAGCATTCTAGAGTTGTTGTGACAACCATGAGAGATAATAGGGTAATATCTACTGAAGGACAAAGTACTAAACAGATAGAAAACCACTGGTTGCTTTCTAAGTCTTATATTTAATACCCTTTTCTTATTTCCCACCATATAGGACCTTTCCACATTTGTCAGGCTTATGATGATCACTATAGTCTCAGACTGATGAATCCTAGATATTTTTCTTCAGCCCCAACCTCTCTCCTAAGCATCACACCCTTGATTTCAACTGTATGTTCAGTATCCTTCACCTGTGATTTGTGCCTTTTGTACCTGGAAACTAAGAGGTCTCAAATATAACTCTTATTTCCTAAATCAGCACCTTCTCCTCCATGTTTCCCTGAATGGCATTATCTGCTCTATGCGTCAAACTAGAATTTCAGATATATCTTTAGTTCTTTGTCTTCCTCAACATTGCGTTGATGTGGAGATGGAAAGGAAAGAGGAGAAACAGAGGGGAGTTTGGAGGCAAATCCTTCCATGAGACAAATAATGCAAAGGAAAGTGGGGAGGTGCTGAATGGTGAGAAGGTGCACAGGGACCAGATCTCAAAGGACAATGTAAGTCCTTGATATGGTTTGGCTCTGTGTCCCCACCCAATTTCATCTCGAATTTTAATCCCCATGGTCTGAGGAGGAGGGACCTGGTGGGAGGCGATTGGATTATGTGGGCAGTTTCCCCCACACTGTTCTCATGAGATCTGATGGTTTAAATGTGTTTGGCAGGTTCCCCCTCGCTCTGTCTCCTGCTGCCATGTAAGACGTGCCTGGCTTCCCCTTCACCTTTCACCATGATTATGAGTTTCCTGAGGCCTCCCCAGCTATGCCGAACTGTGAGTCAATTAAACCTCTTTCCTTTATAAATTACCCAGTCTCAGGTTGTTCTTTATAGCAGTTTGAAAATGAACTAATATAGTCATGCTGGAGAATTTGGCTTGATTCTGAAGGCAACAGTAATCTGTTGGAGGGCTTTAAGGAGGGATGGGGGTACATGATAAGTTTTGAGCTTTCGAAGATTTAATCTGACTGCAGTGTGAAGAATGGATTGTAGGGGCTCAAACCTGAGTCAAGAAAAGTATCAGAACCTGAATACAGATGAAAAAATAATGAGATGACGGAGAAGAGAAGATGAGGTCCTGGACAGCAGCAGAGTGTGGGGGAAGTAAGACAAACTGGGACTCAGGTGAGAAAGGATCCTTGGAGGATGGCTAGTTGGTGGGCTATTCCTGCCTCAGCTAGGGGAATAGTGAAGAGGACCAAAGGGAGCAGGCCGTGTGAGTGTGAGACCACTTGGAGACAAATAAGGGTAGCCCATGAGAGTGAGGGCAGTCAGGCTCCCTGACCCACTGTTTCCCCTTGGTTCTCCATCATGGTTGGAGTTTATTTTGCCCAGTGAGAAATGAGAGATATAATCAGGAGATTATATAGAAAAATAATTTTGGAATGAATCACAAAGGGTATAACTTAATATAAAAAATCATTATAAGACAATTGAAATAGGAACTGAAAGGAAAGTGAGGCTTATTTTCTTATAAATAGTTTTTGATTATTCACGAGACCTTAATGTCTTCCTCGAGAAAGTGGATCAGTTTCAATTTTCAGCCATAGTTCATCACCTCCTCTCCACTAGTGAGTGATTACAATGAAAAGTAAGGAAAACAGATTGTTTTGTACTCCTCAAAAGCCTACCTGTGAATCATTTCCTGAAGACAAAGGATTTTTCCAAAAATGTAATGTTAATAAATTCACAATGCTCTTCTGCTTGTAAGAGTGAAAGAAGAAACTGAAAAGTCAGGAAAGAGGAATTTACTTATACCTGGTGCTTCTGCTGACAGAGACTTGAAGTTATACCAAGCAGTCAGTATTAACCATTTTAAAGGAGAAGAGAAAAGTTGACTTTTTCTTTCAATGTGACCTTGGGACCCCTAAAGGGAGTAGTGGTGTGGCTGAAGGTGCTAAGGGTCAGGTCAGTTTCCATTAGGCTCTTTTATATTCTGGAAAATAATTGCTGTGGGTGAAGCTTAGGCTACTGGAGAAAAGATTGGAGACCCCATTCTCTTACCTTGTAGTAAAGTAGAAACTTCTCCATTACCTCAGTTAAGTAACTTAATAAGTCTTTCCTTAAAAAAGTCAATATAAATGATATTTTATCAGTAATAATCATAGCAAACTTTTTCACTCATGAAAAATAACTCAATGAAGATTAAACTTCATTTACAGGCTCTTCAGATTCACATATGATCCTTGTTAGTGTGCATCCAGACATGTTTGCATTCGTTGCATAGTTTTACGCACTGGACTTTAAGAATTATTTGGACACTAAGCACTTTATTTATTCATCTTTTTTTTTTGTTTTTTGTTTTTTGTTTTTTGTTTTTTTTTTGAGACGGAGTCTCGCTCTGTTGCCCAGGCTGGAGTGCAGTGGCGCAATCTCGGCTCACTGCAAGCTCCGCCTCCCGGGTTTACGCCATTCTCCTGCCTCAGCCTCCCGAGTAGCTGGGACTACAGGTGCCTGCCACCTCGCCGGGCTCGTTTTTTGTACTTTTTAGTAGAGACGGGGTTTCACCGTGTTAGGCCAGGATGATCTCGATCTCCTGACCTCGTGATCCGCCCATCTCGGCCTCCCAAAGTGCTGGGATTACAGGCTTGAGCCACCGCGCCCGACCTATTCATCTGTTTTTTAGATATACTGCAAGAAATGAGTCCTAAGTCTTAGGTAGCTAAGTCATCTTAGCAGCTGATAGTTTGCTGCTGAAATCACTCATGCATATAAGCATTTAAAGGGAGCATTTCCACTTTCACATATTTGATGCAACTGTTCGGAACTTGTCTTTTTAAGTTCAGGGATACATATGCAGGTTTGTTACATAGGTAAAGTTGTGTCATGGGGTGGGGGGGTTGTTGTACAAATTATTTAATCACCCAGATATTAAGCCTAGTACCTATTAGTTATTTTTCCTGATCCTCTCCCTCCTCCCAGCCTCCACCCTCCAATAGGCCCCAGTTTGTCTTTTTCCCCTCCATGTTTCGATATGTTCTCATCATTTAGCCCCCACTTATAACTGAGAACATGCAGTATTTGGTTTTCTGTTCCTGCATTAGTTTATTAAGGATAATAATGGCCTCCAGCTCCATCCATGTCCCTTCAAAGGACATTATCTTGTTCTTTTTTATGACTGCATAGTATTCCCTGATGTATGTGTACCATATTTTCCTTAGTCTACCATTGATTGGCATTTAGGTAGATCCCATCTCTTTGCTATTGTGAATTGTGCTGCAATGAACATATGTATGCATGTGTCTTTATAATAGAATGATTTATATTCCTTTGGGTATATACCCAGTAATGGGATTGTTGAGTCACATGGTATTTCTGCCCCTAGGTGGTTGAGGGATCATCACACTGTCTTCCACAATGGTTGAACTAATTAACACTGATGCCAACAGTGTAAAAGTGTTCTTTTTCTCTACAATCTCACCAGCATCTGTTATTTTTGACTTATTAGTAATAGTCATTCTGACTCATGTGAGATGGTTTTGTGGTTTTGTTTTGCATCTCTCTAATGATTAGTGATGTTGAGCTTTTTTTCCATAAGCTTGTTGGCTGCATATCTGTCTTTTGAAAAGTGTCTGTTCATGTCCTTTGCCCACTTTTTAATGCCCACTTTTTAATGGGCAAAGGACATGATTGTTTGTTTTTTTCTTGTAAATTTGTTTAAGTTCCTTATAGATGCCAGCTATTAGACTTTTGTCGGATGCATAGTTTGCAAATTTTTTTTCCCATTCTTTAGGCTGTTTACTCTCTTGATAGTTTCTTTTGCTGTGCAGAAACTCTTTAGTTTAATTAGATCCCATTTGTCAATTTTTGCTTTTGTTGCAGTTGATTTTTGTGTTTTTATCATGAAATCTTTGCTCGTTCCTATGTCTTGAATCATATATCCTAGGTTGCCTTCCAGCGTTTTTATGATTTTGGGTTTTATATTTAAGTCTTTAATCCATCTTGAATTAGTTATTGTATATGGTGTAAGGAAGGGGTCCAGTTTCAATTTTCTGTATATGGCTAGCCAGCTATCCCAGCACCATTTATTAAATAGGGTATTATTTCCCCTTTGTTTGTTTTTGTCAGATTTGTCAAAGATCAGATGGTTGTAGGTGTGTGATCTTATTTCTGAGTTCTCTATTTGGTTCCACTGGTCTCTGTGTCTGTAGGACTAATCTTTTTATTAGGTAACCAAGTTTTCTGTTTATTGAAATATCCTCCACAGATAAATTTAAGCCAACACAGAGAAAGAGATCTCAAAATCACTGTCAGATGCTCTGTGGTAAGAAAAGAACAAAAAGATATCCTAAGAGGCAGAGAACCTAAGCTATACCTGTTTTATTTTTTTAAATAAGTTTTTTTTTTAATTTTTAGTTTTTGTGGGTACACAGTTATATATATTTATGGGGTACATGAAATATTTTGGTACAGTATGCAATGCATAATAATCATATCATGGAATAGTAGGTATCCATTTTCTAAAGCATTTATGCTTCATATTACAAGTAATTCAATTATACTCTTAATTATTTTTAAAAGTATAATTAAATTATTATTGATTATAGTCCCCCTCTAGGGCTATTAAATAGTATCTCTTATTAATTCTTTGTATTTTTTTAAAAATTTTACTCTAAGTTCTGGGATACATATGCAGAATGTGCAGGTTTGTTACATTGGTATACATGTGCCATGGTGGTTTGCTGAACCTAGCAACACATCATCTAGGTTTTAAGCCCCACATGCATTAGGTATTTGACCTAATGCTCTCCGTCCCCTTGCCCTCCACCCCCTGACAGGCCCTGGAGTGTGATGTTCTCCTCCCTGTGTCCATGTGTTCTCATTGTTCAGCTCCCATTTATGAGTGAGAACATGCGGTGTTTGGTTTTCTGTTCCTGTGTTAGTTTGCTGAGAATGATGGTTTCCAGCTTTAGCCATGTCCCTGCAAAAGACACGAACTCATTTGGGTGTATACCCAGTAATGGGATTGCTGTGTCAAATGGTATTTCTGGTTCGAGATCCCTGAGGAATGGCCACACTGTCTTCTACAATGGTTGAACTAATTTACACTCCCTCCAACAGTGTAAAAGCATTCCTATTTCTCCACAGCCTTGCCAGCATCTGTTGTTTCCTGATTTTTTAATGATCGCCATTCTAACTAGTGTGTGATAGTATCTTATTGTGGTTTTGATTTGCATTTCTCTAATGACCAGTGATGATGAGCTTTTTTTCATGTTTGTTGGCTACATAAATGTATTCTTTTGAGAAGTGTCTGTTCATATCCTTTGCCCACTTTTTGATGGCGTTGTTTGTTTTTTTTTTTTTATTGTAAATTTGTTTAAGTTTCTTGTAGATTCTGGATATCAGACCTTTGTCAGATGGACAAATTGCAAAAATTTTCTCCCATTCTGTAAGTTGCTTGTTCACTCTGATGATAGTTTCTTTTGCTGTGCAGAAGCTCTTTAGTTTAATTAGATCCCATTTGTCAATTTTGGCTTTTGTTGTAATTTTGTTGTAATTGGCTTTTTGTGTTTTAGTCATGAAGTCTTTGCCCATGCCTATGTTGTGAATGATATTGCCTAGGTTTTCTTCTAGGATTTTTATGATTTTAGGTTTTACATTTAAGTCTTTAATCTGTTTTGAGTTAATTTTTGCATAAGGTATAAGGAAGGGGTCCAGTTTCTGTTTTCTGGATATGGCTAGCCAGTTTTCCCAGGACTATTTATTAAATAGGGAATCCT